GTACTCCAAGCTGTACTTTGTAAAACTGTAGCTTTAAAATATAAATCTGATGCACACAGTAAACATCAGCATTGTCTTTGTGATTAAAATAGAAAGCTTTTCAGAAATATTATTTTTGAGTTATTCTTAAATCTGAGGTTAATTCATAATCTGTCAAATCCTCTTTATCTCCTATTTCCATATAGAAAACATTGTACAGTTTATCTACAGTACTTGCTTACCTACAAGCCACAAAATACTAGTATTTCTAAATCAGTTTTTCCCCCCCATTTGGAGCAAATAGAAAAAAATTATATTTATTCTAACCTCCTGAAAATATAGATCTGAAATCTGGATTCTCACTATCCAGACAGCATTAACTCATGGTTTTCTTAGAGTCCAAAATAAGTTTATTGTTTACACCTATGTTAATCTTCAGGCATTCACCTTATAGATATATTAGGATGTAGATGAAGGTCCCATCAGTTGATACAGCAGATGAAATAATGAGTAGATTGCAAGAAAATACATAGAATGAGGAAATTAAAAAGAGTTATAGTGTACTTGGCACAGATAGCTGTTGATCCTGTTATCATATCACACCAGATCAGTTTAATAAAGCTCCTTTTACCCACAATCTTACTGTAGATGAGGCTGCCAACGTGGCATGAATAACCAAGACCTGGTTGGGGTGGGAGAGGAGATCTTATCTCAGAGAAATCCCCACGTGGGTTTTGAATGTGGCATTGGCTGCAAAGCCAGGGCTGGGGAGGGTGGGGATGGGGGTAGAGAAGTAGTTGTTACTTGAGAAGTTCTAATTGGAGAGGCACTATAAGACAGGTAACCAGATGGGAGGCCCTGTGGTTGAAGCTGAGCTCCAGGGACCAGTTGGGTTAGTTACTGCTGCACAATGACATCCTTGCCTGAGCTGCTTGGAGCCAACACTGGGTATCACTTCTTTGTGGCCTCTCCCTGTTTATTGATACTGAGACTCTCTGGTTTTCTGTAGAGCTCCTGGAGATGAAACAATCAAGGAGATCCCTAGAATAGAGAAAGACAAAGAGCAAATCTGACCAAACATGTGTAATGGATCACAGTAGGAATTACTTTGTAATAATATGAGAGCCAGTTTAATGTAGTGGTTAAGGTGCTGGCCAATGAGACTGTGAGTTCTAGGCTTTCCTGAAGTATGAGAGCCAGCTGGGTGACCAGTACTCTCTCTCAGCCCAATGCACCTCGCTGCTGTTGTGGGCAAAATAGGAGGCAGGAGTATTAGGTATGCTCACCACCTGAGTTATATATTTTTTTAAAAAATGGGAAATAATAATAATAATAACAACAACAACAACAAAATGTAAAGACCTCCAAATATAAGTAGAACGACTTTGGCAAAGGAAAGCAAAGATAGTACCAGTAGTAATAGGCGCCTTGGGTGTAATCCCAAAACATC